TTGACTTAATAAGTGATTAGCTGAGACACATCTTCAGGATATTGTATCCTTGACTTAATAACAGTGGTTAGCTGAGACACATCATCAAGATTTTGTATCCCTGACTTAATAAGTGATTAGCTGAGACACATCTTCAGGATATTGTATCCTTGACTTAATAACAGTGGTTAGCTGAGACACATCATCAAGATTTTGTATCCCTGACTTAATAAGTGATTAGCTGAGACACATCCTCAGGATATTGTATCCTTGACTTAATAACAGTGGTTAGCTGAGACACATCATCAAGATTTTGTATCCCTGACTTAATAAGTGATTGGCTGAGACACATCCTCAGGATATTGTATCCTTGACTTAATAACAGTGGTTAGCTGAGACACATCATCAAGATTTTGTATCCCTGACTTAATAAGTGATTGGCTGAGACACATCCTCAGGATATTGTATCCTTGACTTAATAACAGTGGTTGGCTGAGACACATCCTCAGGATTTTGTATCCCTGACTTAATAAGTGATTAGCTGAGACACATTCTCAGGATTTTGTATCCTTGACTTGATAATAGCTGTTGGCTCCTTAATCTAAAGATTTGGTTATTTATCAAAATGTCATAAAAACTGGAATTGCTTTGCTTTAAGTTTCATGTCAGTCTAATAATGTTTCACAAGTTTAATGTACTTAACCTAACTTTTACTACAAATGACTTTAAAATTAGATACTAGAATAAGAAGCAGTCAAGTGTCATGTTTTTCTACCTCTTGAGAATATAGATAAATAAAAAAGTTAGAAGGCTATTTCTAGAGTATTTTGATTACTGACCAAATCAAATTAAGAACAAAGAATCCTACTTCTAACTAACAAAGACTTTTCTTGTTATGAGAAGAAATCCCCAAATAGGTTTCAATAGGTTGCATATAAATTATAGTGCTTTCAAAGCAAGACGTAAACAGAGAAAATTTAATTTCATTTGCTGTTACAAAATATATAAAGACTATTTACATTTCCAAAGTTAATCATACTTTAAGTTCTGCCTGGTCACATTTCCATGAAACGACAATTTTTTTGACTTAGGAAAATGATTAGTATGGAAGTGTTTAGTCACAGTGTTTAGTATGGAAGAAAATTTTGATTAATATTCCAGAGGTTTATAAATATATGTTAAAATGAAAATGTAAAAAAACCCAATCATTTAAATAAAGTTTAAATCCAAAATAATGGATATATATATATGAATACAATTTTCAACACTTAAATGTGTCCAACATCGGATCGAAGAAGGCACGTGTGAGTATCAAAACTTATATCCATGTAAATGTGTTGTTGTGGATTTAAACTTTATTTTTAATTACTTTACACAGTGTTGTGATATTTATCTACTTTAAACCCAATCATTAAAAAAAATTTAAATCCACAATAATGGAACAATAACATATATATATGGATACAATTTTCAACACTTTAAATGTGTCCAACATCGGATCAAAGAGGGCACGTGTGAGTATCGAAACCTATATCCATGTAAATGTGATAAACAGAACAACAAATGGATACAATTTTCAACACTTTAAATGTGTCCAACATCAGATCAAAGAGGGCACGTGTGAGTATCGAAACCTATATCCATGTAAATGTGTTGTTGTTCTGTTTATATGGATACAATTTTCAACACTTTAAATGTGTCCAACATCAGATCAAAGAGGGCACGTGTGAGTATCGAAACCTATATCCATGTAAATGTGTTATTGTGGATTTAAACTTTATTTTTAATTACTTTACACAGTGTTGTGATATTTATATACTTTAAACCCAATCATTTGTTATCATATATAAGAGAGATGGACCATAACACCTTTGTTACCATTATAGAAAATACTGATCAGTTTCTTACATAGAAGTTTTTATTATGTTTAATGATAAAATGAAGATATTTAATAATGCTCTACCAAAAGTATTGGTACGTAGGATTTACTCTTCATGTTCTCTTTATTTAAAAATATTTGGACTTGTAGAAACTACACTGTTGTCACTATCATCTTCACTTTCACTCTGTCTAACGTCCAGAAAGTCAACTGTACTTTCTAATGCTTCTAATTTTTCTTTAACTTCTCTGGGAAGATTGTCAGAATACTGTTTATATTTACACTCTTCAACTAGTGACCTCTTCTTCATTTCATATTTTTCTGTTTCTCTAGGAATCCTTATTAGCATATTGGCACCAGATAAAGAAGCTTCCGGAACAAGCTGTTGGACACAATTCTTACTACAGTTTGGGGTTTTCAGGATGAACCTTGTTTGCATTCCATTTTTGTATTTTCTTACCAAAGGCTTTCTTTTAAGTAAGAGGTGATTCATAGCCACTGAGGTCTTTTGTTTAGGTTTAGCAGATTCTCTGAAGTCTCCTGAAAGAAGAAGAAGAAGAAAAAAAGAATACTATGGTAAGAAACAGATTGTTACTGATAGTTACACAAGTTTACATTTAAACACAATAGTCTAAAATCTGTTGTTTTTTAATTCATTTCAATGAGTATAAATGTCAAAGACTCTCTAGTTACTTAGCTCACAAAAAAAAAAACAAGTTTCTTCTGACTTTAGTGGTCAACTAAAGTTAGGATAAGGTAACATCTTCTTGAAACTATAGGGTGGAAATGAAATGACATGAACCTGTCTTTATCTTGTGTGACTTACATACCAGTGTGAATGACATGAACCTGTCTTCATCTTGTGTGACTTACTTACCAGTGTGAATGACATGAGCCTGTCTTCATCTTGTGTGACTTACTTACCAGTGAGAATGACATGAACCTGTCTTCATCTTGTTTGACTTACTTACCAGTGTGAATGACATGAACCTGTCTTTATCTTATGTGACTTACCAGTGAGAATGACATGAACCTGTCTTTATCTTGTGTGACTTACTTACCAGTGAGAATGACATGAACCTGTCTTTATCTTATGTGACTTACTTACCAGTGAGAATGACATGAACCTGTCCTTATCTTATGTGACTTACTTACCAGTGAGAATGACATGAATCTGTCTTTATCTTGTGTGACTTACATTCTAGTAAGTGACATGAGCCTGTCTCTGTCTTATGTGACTTATGTAATAATAAATGTGACATGAGCCTTTGTGTCATGTGACTTACACACCAATGAGTGATATAAACCTGTCTTTGTCTTGTGTTGACTCACACACTAGTGAGTGTGATATGAGCCTGTCTTTGTCTTGGGTAATTTACACACCAGTAAGTGTGATATGAGCCTATCTTTGTCTTGTGTTGACTCACACACCAGTGAGTGTGATATGAGCCTGTCTTTGTCTTATGTAACTTACCAGTAAGTATGATATGAGCCTGTCTTTGTCTTGTGTGACTTACACACCAGTAAGTGTGATATGAGCCTGTCTTTGTCTTATGTGACTTACACACCAGCGAGTGTGATATGAGCCTGTCTGTGTCTTGTGTGACTTACACACCAGTGAGTGTTATATGAGCCTGTCTTTGTCTTGTGTTACTCACACACCAGTGAGTGTGACATGAGCCTGTCTTTGTCTTGTGTGACTTACACACCAGTAAGTATAATATGAGCCTGTCTTTGTCTTATGTAACTTACCAGTAAGTATGATATGAGCCTGTCTTTGTCTTGTGTGACTCACACACCAGCGAGTGTGATATGAGCCTGTCTTTGTCTTATGTGACTTACCAGTAAGTATGATATGAGCCTGTCTTTGTCGCTCACACAGCTTGATATATTGTCTTTTAAGAGCTGAAATATCTAGCGATGTTCTCTCAACATGTGTGTTGGAGAACGACATCACTGGACTACCATCACTTGCAGCTGACCTGCTTGGGTATACTTCTAATGTCTTACTAGAAGTACCTGTAAATCAAAGTTAAAATAAACATTACTTTGTGAAGATGTAATGAGAAAATGTTTATTTAACAATGGTAATTTTTTAGGTGAATAGTTTGTTTTTATCACACTTTATACTTTCAAAAATGACAAATTATCTTGTGGAATATTACAGTTCAAAGTTCTAACAAGTGAGTTGTGGCAGGTTGTGAACAGAAATTTTAACTGAATGATTTCAGTTAGAATTTCAAGAATTTCTGGAAGATATCATACTCCGAGAGAAGGAAGGTTTTATTTGTGTGACTGTTAAGCCTTATAGTCACTCTAACAGATACATTTATTTACCAAAACGTTTAATGAAAATAATTAGTATATATATATATATATATATATTATTTATGTGGTTTAGAAGTTATGCCAAAGTTTTAGTGTAACAAGTCATGTAATTGTATAAAGCTGATGAGTGTATTAAGTTTTCAAATAAACTTAATAAATAGGAAGGTCTGTTAAATTCCAAAGTTATCTAAAAACATCCATTTTGGGCTAACAAATTTGAATGAAAATACAAAAATTATAGACAATTTTTATGTCTTTTATATAACTTAAGTAAATACTTTAAATGTTTGACTCTAAAAAAATGATAAATCATCCTTTCATTAATAGTGTAAGTTACCTAATTTCAGTTACTCTAAATACTCAGTTGAAATGGATACACTAAATAAACTTTCAGCAGTGTGATATTTTCTTTCAATTTAGTGGATGTCCCCTGGTGGATCAGATGCAATTTTACGAACCTACAACACTAAAATCCAGGGTTCAATTCTTGCAGAGGACAGAGTGCAGATAACCCATTGTTTAGCTTTTTCACTATAAACAACAATTTAAAAGATACAATAAACTACTATTTTAGTGATATTATCTTGGAATGAATATAATAAACAAATCTTTTAGTGATATTATCTTGGACTGAATATAATAAACAAACCTTTTAGTGATATTATCTTGGACTGAATATAATAAACAAATCTTTTAGTGATATTATCTTGGACT